AAAGTAGAACTATATTTACCTATAGCCAGTGCTTTCTCACATGACGCACTGCTCGGCTGTTGGCGTTCAGTTGCAAAGCAAATAAGCATAACAATTGAATAGTTTCCTGAAAATATATGTACTCGGAGATAATTTTTTCTCTTTTAACCAGTGCGTTTTCAAAAGATACAAGTTTTCTCTCCACCTTAAAAGAATTCTAGGTAACTTTTCATGCAATTGAAATAAACGAAGGACATCGCTTTCTTTTTGCAATCCCGATGAGGGCTTTCTCTGCGACAGAATGGACTCGGGAGTCCTCATTTTCGATAATCACTCCTTAGAAACTTGGAAGTTTACATTACACTTCAAGCACGCCGTTAGATACTTTCAAAGTGTTATCAACAAGATAAGACATAGTGGTCTTTTTATCCTGTTATGAAACTTAAAAAAAGAAACGCTGTTTTCATGTCTTCAACCGATGTAACTATATGGTAGTCGATCTGAGCACGTATTTTGGAATTAATTTGGAGTTTATTTTTATATTCTAGTTAATGTAATATCTTATATTTTAGTAATTTTCATATCCAAGAGTAATTGGCAAATTTCTTTTATATTTTCTCAGAAGTGCGCGCCTCTTATTATGCACACGCCATTTTGTACTTTCTTCAATCATTGTTTGTAATCAGAGTATACCATGAATAAGCTTTGACTCAAACTTTTAAATGCCGAAGTCCAAGATAAGTTTGGTAGAAAAAAAGGTTGATGAGTCATCAAAAATTATTTTGGATCATTTCTGAATTCTATAACCATACTTTAGGTTTTTAAGAAGCATAAGTTTCCTTCAGGCAGAATATAAGAAATCAGCTCCAACTCAAATTTTTGGAGACCTAGATTCTTGACTTAATTTTAGATTTTTTATTGGGGAGAGATTTAGTATTGACGCTTCTAGTTTTAGTTTGCTATTTTTGTCATTCCAGATCCTTAATGTGGCTTGACGCAATAGACAGGTGGACTAATGAGAGACCGGACTTTATTCCCTCACGTACTCGTGGAAGACATCGGATCTTATTTCATGAGATATATCTCAGTTTTAGTAAGAATATACCCTCTTTCAGTGAAAAATTTCTCTTTAAAGAATTTTTTTAGAACCTCTACTCTACAGATATTTGATGAAATAAGTGCCAACTTCGGGTGTTTTCCGGCATTCCGCCATATCCTCATTTACAGAAATCCCTTCTTTCCTTTATTTTCTTTTGAATCGGCACTTAGCCGTTTTCTTAATTGAATCAGGGGTTTTTCACTTTAAACATTTAATTATATAATTATATAATTTAATTAGACAGTTTCCATAGCAAAGTGAATAATAAAATAGTTGGCGCAGTAGATGTAAAATATTTAGATATGTTACCGAAACCAGTACTCAACGACGAATTTTTTTCAGTGGACATTACTGTCCAGTATTTGGGATGTGATAAATCGTCGTGGAATGAATACAGCATAATTACTGCAATAACTCAAATTCATGCAAGTGCTCTTATCGCATTTATTTTAGAACGAAACAGTCACTTGCTCACTTTCATGGTCCAACTTATTTAAAACCCATCTCTCAACAGTCCGAATCTGTTCGATCTTCTACTTTTCTTGAGAATGCATGATGCAAGGGGGCAAATGCCTTATGTTTTGTCATGATGCCCTTGCATTGCATGTACGGCCCAGCTAATACTTTGGCTAATGTGTATTTTTGACTCCAATAAAATCTGCTTCAGTAAAATCTTGTTTGGAACTGAAAATCTATCATCCATGTGTAAAGCAATTTTTGAATTAAATAACGGACCAGTTGATAACTGTGTCGCGAGTGTCATGGAATTTACAGTGTAGGAAACAAACAACTCTTATGCGATATGTCTTTATAGAAAACCTTCCTAAGTATTTTTGAGCTATGGTCATATATTTATTCCCTTGGTTGGTCAAAAGAAGATCGTACCTTTTTACTACCCAAGGAACGCATTTATTAATGTGCAGTCACTGCAAGTTCAAGCTAAAGGCGATATTGGCTCCGGTCCTTCGTCAGGTGTCAGGTGTGCTGTTCCATTCAACTAATGCGAGGATCTTTAACTAGGCTTGAACCAACATTTCAAAACAATTGGTCAGAAATAAGAGGAACTTGTAATTTTCGTGCGGATCTACTTAAAAAAAAATAATAATGGATCACCTTAAGGGAAACAATTGGATGAAGAATTGCTTCACCGACTAAGCAGAGAGAGAGAACAGGACGTTTTACTGTTAAGCGTTTTGAATTAATTTTCCTTGGATAATCCCGGGAGATAAATCAAGTTGTTAGTACGTTGGTATAATAGATAATTCAGTAGAATCTCGTTTATATAAGAAATATGCTCCTGCCTCCTAAATACACTCTTGGTTCCTGTTTTGCGTAACTAAAAACATGCAAAATCCCTGCGGCTAAATACGCCTTGCAATCAGAAATGTTTTTCGAAATTTCCTTCAAAAATCTTGTTGTTTTCATGCATGTCAATCAGGCATACCTCATAATTGCAATATTCTCGACAATCTGAAATTTTTCCTCAGCCGCTAGACACAAATATAGACCAAATTTTCCACAAAACATTCCATGCAAACCTTATCAGGGCACTCGATATCTGTTCAAAAATACTGGGCGCTTCTACAAATTATTTTGGTATTGAAGAGGACGAATTTTGAAAAGAAATTACTCGGCTCTCGGCTCTCGACACTTATTAGAATGTCAGGCGCATTCTTAAATAGATTGCATACCTTTATTCTGAGATACTCACAGAATTACTAAAGAGAACCTCATGCAAAGCTAATGAAAAATTTTGATGACTGTTTCGAAATGGCGGAAGACTCAAAACTTACTTTGATTTCTTTATGCGGGCGAAATCCAACTCTTGTGCACAACGTGGAAACCACTACATTTTTGAGTCGGAAACATAGCGATTTTATGGTATACCTCAGCTAGTTAAGTTCGTAAGTAAGAAAACCCACAGAAATTTTGGAACCTCTTGGCATATCTTGACAAACACCTAATACTCTAAAGAAGTTTGAAAGAACCTTTCACGTCTTTTAGTAGAAAATCAGTGAGAATGTCTTGAAATCTGGACCTCTAGTCCATTTAACACTGTGCCCGGCTGCCGGGCATTTTGCCACAAAGTTTTCCAAACAGTCTATATACTCCAATACTCTATGGTCTGATGATGAGATAAATATAGTAAATGCTACGATCCGTTCTGCTGTCTGTTTATGGGCATGTAATGGAATTATTCGATTGAACGGTTATCGTTCAATTGCTTGACTCATGTAGAATTATGCAATAGGAGAGCCAATTTTTTTATTCTTAACATTTCATGCCTTAATTTTCTTACATCTGGTTGCGTGTGAGTGATGAGAATTGTAGGCGATATGTCATTTCACAATAGCACAATAGACTGAACTCAACAATAAGGCTTGTTTTACATCAAAAGCAAGTAAACGCGTGGCGACTCAGACAACACATAGTCTGGAAGATTTTCAAACGTCAGAAAAAGTGAACAGATACCTATAACAAGATCAAATACAACTTTAAGCAATTGCATGTGTAGTAAATACCTTTTAATTCCATACTAAAGTCTTCTTCCCATCGCTACGGTACATAACACTACTTCCTGACAGAAGAATCTGTGGCACATATACTATCATACCGTGGGAAGTCGACATGGGGCCCGTATCCAGTTTTTTTCCTTGCAAAAACAACCAATTTCCAAGGACATGACATCGTTTTTCTGGACTATGAGAAATAAAGTACATTACAAGAGATCCTAGGCGTAATTTGCGCGAAGGTGGAGGCAGCGTTAAAGTTACTACAGTGATCAAAGTACAAATTTTGTACACGTGCACATCTGGTGGCGCGTGATGTGACAAGAATGCTATCCTTACATTTTTTTTTTTTTTCCTTTGGTCAAACGTGCGAAATAGTCATCATTTGAACTTCTTTACTGTTTTAAAGAGTCTTTCGCTTTGTTTTGCCCGTCAGCATATTCACAACTTATTCTCAGTTCTACTAGAACTAAATACTATGCCAAGAATTCGTTAAGCCTAAGAGAAAGCTCCTCGTCTGGAAAGCAAGAGTCTCGAGAGTTGAAATAGACTGGGGTTTAAGGAGTCATTTCCAATCTCTCTCGGCTCACCTAATTTATTGGCTGTTGTATGCTGGAAGAAATACCTTTCCCGTTGATCCGTTTGAAGCAAGAATAATTGTACAAGATAAATCTTGAACATTTCTCATCGATCGGGGCAAATTTGCTTGGGGTGAATTTTACCTCTCGTCCCGCGATTCGTCGTAGCAATAAATTCATGTGTTGATTTGCGACCGTACCAGCGTGATCTGTTCAGGAGAACAGGAAAATCATTTTCACGAAACATAGGTTTTTTGTTTTTAATTTTAATACCTCCATAACTCCGCTATCTTCGATTTAATTCAATGAAACGGCTTATCACGTAACAATAAGGTATTTATAGAAGCTTATCATCGACTTAAATCTGTAACAGATTAACAAGAACACTGATACTGATCAGTAAGAGAAATACTTAATTCCCCTTACAAAGGGTAACTCATGCAACATCATTAATGTTATCTAGAAACACGGAGGCGCAATTATGCGTTCAATCCCTGACGGAATAAGCATTAAAAGGTGAAACTAAGGTCACTGATTATCCAGATGTGTTATCAAGGAATTGGTATTCGAAGAAAGGTTTAATTTCAGATGGTAAAATTTTCCAAATGACTCTAGACTCAAATAATCATACAAGATTTAGGGCAAACGCTGCCATTAAGAAAAAAGAGCACCTTAAGGATTTTTCAAACGTAATTTTGAGTGTTAACCGATAGAATTATAAGTATTTACCAGTCAAACCTCATAAATAACTAATTACTGTAAAATATATTTCAACAATTCCGTAATTAAATAAAATTCGACGATATTCTTCATGCTCCAGTATCCTTGAAAAACGATGTTTCAACCAGACGGTGAGTCGTCGACTATGTTAAAGACACCTCAACACATCGTGAAGGATGACGTCTTTTAATGTGTAAAGGATGACATAATTTCGATAGATTTCCACCACATCCTCAGTGATCGTTATACTCTGAGGAGAAAAAGAACGCTCTCTATATTAGGAATCTTATTTTATAAGAAGTTCTATGGAAGAGGATAATTTAGTATTATCAACTGAGTTGATAACGTCAATTGACCACCGTAAATACTTTCAAAGCTGACGTTTCGAGCTTTAGCCCTTCGCTCTGGTTAACACTGGTCTGCTTTGAAACTCTTAACGAAGGCCAATTGACATTATCAACTCAGTTTATAATCGTAAATTACCATGTTACATTCTCCAACCGACGCAGCAACACAGTTTCTTTAAAAATTACTCCCTTTATTTCATGGAGGAGGCTTTTCTTTTCTCTTGCGACTAAATTTGCCTGCAGAACGCAAATAGTTCATAAGGCTCGTGATGGAAAATCGTCAAGGGTGACATTAACCTTATTTGAATTTGCAGTGTCTCAGATCAAAGTAAAAGCCGTCAGGAAGTACAAATCCATGAAAAGTGAAAAGTGATGAGAAAAAAGAAAAGCGTCTACTAGAAGATAATCATTTGATCCTATGCTAGATTCTCAGAACCAAAGTTAAGAAATGCACGGCGTACAGTATAAACAATTTCTTTACAAAATCTTTGGAGTAAAAGGGTTAAGTGTTAAAAAATACCCCTGAAACTTTTAAAACTCCGGTAGACTCAGCAGTGTTATGACAGAATTGAGTGAATTGACTTTCACTGACTTTCGTTTGGTAAATCAAATCTTCTAGAAATATTCCGCTATGGACGGGATGTTGTTACGTATTAAAATCGATAAAACAGCACTTTTGAGTTCATTTCTTGTATTTCGATTCTCGAGATTTCTTTTGTGAGGTGTATACGAGAAACGGAAAAATTTGTCTTACCAATCGATTCTGTTCGACCATTGCTTGTAGGTAATCGCGGGTGTAGTGATTCATTTGCACCTTTGACAAATGTTGAGTAGTAGGCATCTGATACTCATTTCTACGGATCTGAAATTTTGTGAAACAAGAAAAATAGGAGTTTGCCATTATCAAACGTGGAATAAATTTTGTATTTAACATAAATTAAAGCAGTGGATAGCGTTGAAGGTACTAAAACAACTATTCACCTCAGTGTCGATGGCTAACAGTAGATATTTACCGAGCCACGAAACGGCTATGGCTATTACTATTCCATAATACTTTCACCTTTTTTTTTGTCAAATGTTTCTTTCAATGGCATACAGTCTATAGAGAACCAAGATTTTTGATTATTTAAAGTTCATTAAAAGATAACTTGTTTTTTAAGTTGATGAAACTAAATGTTTGATTGATAGTTCCATCGAAATATGTAGAATCAAAATTGTTTTAAACAATTAAATGCCAAACTTTGCAAACCTTACCTCAGTTTTCACACTCTGAACTGTATAATTAAGCAGGGAGCTGGTGTCCCAGAGAGCTCTTGCTAGCGACTTGTGCTGAGATCCTTTTGATTCTTCCAAAGAGTACGCCAGGTACAATGGGCGAATAAAGTTGTGCAGTTGGATGAGGGCGATAGAAAGTCTGTCACTTTTTTTCTGTGACAGAACACATATGAAGAAAGTAATCAAACCTTAGGTCTTTATCCAGCTTCATTACTATTTTAATTTAAATGTCTCATCGGTAGTTATGGAAAGACTCAACAGATTTGAGAACCGCGGTATAAAACGTGTAAGGACGATTAAAAACGTTTCGTTGAGATTGTTTGAAAGACATCCTTCAGTTGGTTCTTACGGTGCCTGCAGGGACTTAGTTACTAAATGCTACAACAAAATGAAACAGGCAAGGGATTATTTGAACATAGCGTACCACGATGCAACAGGAGTTGAAACATGCTTTTTTTTTTTCTTTTACAACAAAATTTGAATAGGTTTTGACCTACAAAAGCATGTGCCAATTTTATATTGGTTTGTACGGTAAACAAGTATAGTGTTTTAATTATTTATGAACGGTGGAGAAATAGTGTGGGGAGGACATGGAGTTAAGTAACAGCCTCGCTGTAAATTTTGCCAAAGCGTTTTCACCGCAACTCGTGTTGTATCAATTCAAGCTGAAAAATTTCTTTTTTTTATAGAAAGAAATACGGAGAAGTTTAAAGAATGTTAGAATCACCATATTCGAAGAGCAAATCTGTGTATGAGCCTCTCCAAAACGTAGTGGTGTCTCCTTGAGATCCCAGTTAGAAGCTATGAATTTATGGACGGTTAACATCTGTAGAATGAAACACAGAGAAAGTTACTCAACTCTTTGGTTACGTCATTGCCATTCAGAGCTCAGAATCAATTTAGTCAAAGTATATCACGACCATATAATGAAAAATATTTTTTAGGATTCCCTACCTCCTTGGTGGCGTTGGCTCGTGTTGGCATCAGAAGATGTCTGATCAGAATTTCCGCGTTACTAGGTTTCAATCTTAACGGAGCTGTCCACGGTGCTGAACTCAGAAAAGTTACCATAAATATGGTAACGTATAGGGCCTTGAAACATTCCATATCTAGTCAATTAAAATTTAAAAAGGTACGGTTAACAAATTCGGTAAAACGCATACCAAAAAAACACTCAAACACACCATCAAACTGTTATATTGACATTTCCTTTGAAACATGATAAGACAAACGAGAAGAGCTGAATTCTTTTTAACCTTTGTTACCTCTCGTTAAACTCATTTCGATGTGCTTTGATATGCTTTGACCTAATATATAGTGATGAGAAAATCCTCTGTGTATGGTTTCATGACGTTCTTTAAAGCGAAATAATTTGTCTGCGTAAAGTACCATACCTGCTTTCCTTAAGAGAGCGCAACTATATTCACATGAATGAATTGCTTAGTCCAGGTCAGAGGCAAAGCAGTAGCTATCACTCACCTCTTTCAGTCTCGTCCAGTGCTGGATGCAATGGTTTGAAGCGAAGTGTGGTGTGTGTCTCCTACCTGAAATATCTGACGGACACATATTTATTCTGTCAAATGCCGGGGAGAAACCATCCAACATTTGCTTCTGTTGAGGGGAGTCGACCTGCGGGGATATTCCCGTAATACATCTTCCTTCTCGTCGCGGAAAATCATCTTGTATTTTGGAAAAAACATCATTGGCAGTTCCTGCTGAAGTATCCAATGTTCTTTGTGTGATACGTCTCTACTGCTTGATACGAAATATAACAACTTGCCGAGGAATAAACACGGCATCTCAAAGTGGTCACACACTCTATCCAAAAAGGCTCTTTCGATATTAAACCCTTAGGAAGTTATCTCCAGAATTGAGTCTGGAAATAGTTTATTGAAATTTTTACCGGAAGGTCAAATCTTGACCCTATTTTTTGTAATCGAAACCATTTGTCGCACCCAACAATTATATTTAACAGAGTCAGTGTAGTTATAATCGTCTAGCATACAGTCAGAGTCACTCTGTTCCTAGTAAATTCAGGAGTAATATCCTATTTCTGTGATGTGTCAGTTTCTTCCTGTTTTCGTATCGTATTACTTTCGTAATATTTCGTTTCATTCAAGCGATATCAAGTACTGCAAGTCAAACAAAGACCCAGATTAACTGGTGTTTACAGCGTACATGCCTGACGAAGAAATGTAATCTGAGAGATGATGAGGTATTAGATGTTATGAATTTATAGACAATCGGAACCATGGGCGAGCGCTCGATGGATCGATTCCGGACTGATTCGTAATGACGCTTTACGTGCTGCATCAGTGTTACTTGTAACTGTTTAATTTGGAGATTTTGCCCTCTTTTGAATCCTCCAATGATCGAAACTGAATGATTTTTACGGCCTTGAACGCACTGCGACGTATTGTGTCAGCGCGGCTATCAGAAATGAGATTTCTCGGAAGTCGACGGAACTACACCAGTGGATTATCACACTTGAACAAAGGTTTCCTCCAAACGGACACGAAAAACTGTTTCAGAATCCTCTGCTTGGAAATGCAGTTCTAGCCATTATACTTTCTAAGACCACTGCCGTAAGAATATCGATTTCCGTCTATTGCAAACTTGACAAACGACCGTTTGTCTAATACTTGAATCTCGTGGTCCTCTGAACCTGTTAGGGTGAAACTGCTTCGTACGGCTATTATTAACTGCACATATCTAGTAGATGTCCTCAGTCAATTGAAATTATAGCCAGACGTTTATCATAGAGAATTTTTTTAGCCTGTGTTGACTAATGGTGAACGGTGTTTTGCCAAGAAGCCAACAGAGATCAGAAGATGAATGCGAAAGCTTCAGGTTACATGCTTTGACCTTATCAGTTACAAAGCAATAGTGTTAAAACTTCCGCCTGGCGTTCGTGTCTGAAAACTTGTCTGTGATCAAGTTCCAAAAAAAAAACAAAAAACCCATTGCCCTTTGGTGTACTGATGCTCAGAAAAGTGGAACTAAATACAGAAAGTTTATAAATAAATTACTTCCAAAAGTGGTAAGACTGCACTTGATTTGAAATAAACTGCATAAAAATAAAAAATAATGAAAGTAAATTTTATGAGTAATTTTTTAATCAGGGTCATACTAAGGATGGTTAATAGATTGTTATCTTGAAGTGCATCAATCCCTCGGTAGAGGATATGAAACGTCTATCATGTAGGATGGTATGATTCGCGCATGATTCAATAACACTATGTTGTGTTACAATCTAAGCCAAGAACCATCTGTTGAAGGTTGAATGGCTTCAAGGCGATGTCTTAAAACAGCAAAGATCTAGCTTTACTGAGAGAATTCCCAACCTCCATGGTGGATCAAGGGTGAAAGCCTTCACTTGTTAACAGATGTTTTGAGTGTCTCGGAAGAAAAGGAGAAGGTCGAAGACTTTCTGTATCTCAGAAAAAAATAGTTTAAGGCATCCAAATGCCTAAAGTTTAACCCTTTATGCCCAAAGATCGGTTTACATGTTCTCAGTACTGTTCTCTATACATTTCCCTAAGTGCTGACAAGGAGAATTTCTTTAATAATCAAGCGCTTATTTAGATGGTGACCATTTCCTTTCTTTATTCTCGTGACCATATTGTGTGATTCAGAGATGATATAGTTAGGAGAAATTAGATGCTAGTGACCCATTAGGGGTCAAAGGCTAAATCAAAAACCGTAAATAAACGTTTCAGTGTAGCTTTCAACCGTCAAAGGATGTGTATCTTATAGACTTGTTTATTAAAAAAAAAAAGTCCCGCAAACTCAAGGGACGTCTTACTTAGTCACATCTTCGATTACTACGTTTTGCTTAATAATACTATTTTTTTGTCATTCAATAAACAGGAAACGAATATGTAGACAAAAATAGACAATATTTTCAGTTTCTCTTCAACGCTTTATTGTTAATTTAACAACATCACGCTCGTACATTGGTTTATCAACATTATTCAATCTGCAACAGATTAACTTATACACTGATTCCAGTCAGTCACTACTAATCTCAATATGGACTTTATCGTTTCCTTCTATTGAAGGTCAATTGTAACAGTCATTTAATACTCCTCATCGATATCAATATAAATAAATGGACTTTCTTCCCAAAAAAGAAGAATCGTTGCACTACTTTTTTACGCTTCTTAAATAAAATTTCATTTAAATATTTTCTTGTGATGTCCTGTAATTAATGATAGGTTCCATGCTTCCATCAGAGGGAAATGTGGTCCATGCTTTCAGCGGATACCATTTTACAGACAAGTCATCACGTTATCGAGGACATCTTTCAGAGTATACAAGATGACGTAATTTCGGTAACTCTTCACCACATCATCAGTGATCGTAAGACTCTGTGAAAAGAAAATAATATCCCTGATTATGATTCTACAAAACTCAGAGAAACCTAACTTGCACTTTTTCTGCAACGTGAGAAACTATTCTTAACTCGAAAGAGACTGAGAATTATCAGCTCGGAGGTTTAGAGCATCGCAAAAATGGGTGAAAAAAATGGTATGTAGTCAAGAGGATATGAAATATTGTGATTGAAGCACGAATACAGGCTCCGAGCATCTTGCTTCGTCACAAATTTTGGATTAGTGTAAATTGCTTTATTGAGTAAGGTGTCTTCTTTATCTCGAAGGCGAGAAGATCAGGATTTGACTTTCTTTTTTACCTCTGTTTTCCAAGCATGTTGCATGCTCGGATTGGTTTTCTTTGGAGAATATTTTGCATGTAAGGCAACTCAGAGGATTCTATGCGAAGTGATAAGGAAGAATACTTTACGTACCAATAAATTATTTTTGACCTGAGCCCGAAGGTATTTGCGAGTTTTACGATCCAGTACTGCTTCTGACTCATGTGGAACTTGGGGTGGCCGAGATCCAATCTTCGTTATCTAAAAAATTGAGGTAAATTATTACATTATGTCACTATTGTTGTTCAATAATGCCTATAACCCTTAAAATGCTAAACCGTGCGATGTGATAATTCAGCGAATGTCCAGTCTAAGCTTCTTTAGTTTTAATAACCGATAAAAAAAATAAAAATTAGCCAGTTTGATAACCGTGAGTGTAAATTGTGATTCAACAAAACCAAGAATCTAGAAGACGGATAAAGGAAAGCTTAAAACTATTTTTATGAGAGTATTGTGAGTTTACTGATGTAATACACTAGAAATGATTTTGTTATTATCATCATATTAAATCGTTCTACTTAATTTCCGAATCAAAAATTTCGTAAGAATGATACCTCGTTTTCGACACTCCCCACTGTGTAATTTAGGTGAAAGCTGGTTTCATGAATTGCTCTTGCCAACTCCTGATGCTGAAATCCTTTTTGTTTCTCATACGAGTGTGCCATGTAAAGTGGGCTCATGAAATAGTGGAGTTGGATGTAAGCGATCGCAAGATTGTGTTGCTTTTTCTGCGAAGGAAACATGATAGACACAATTTGTTAATATTAATTTAAGTACAAGAGACTTGCAGAGGCACAAGTTCTGTCAAATGTTTTATGTTTTGATGCCAATGTTTAGAGTCTTGTCATTAATAGAAAACGATCTGGGAATATCGAAAAACAATCCCTTCGAAATGAATAATGGGCCTTGAAGCTTTTGAGATTGATGTTTAGTAATTGTCGTTAACTATAAGTCGCAACCTTTGCACTAATTACCTATCATTATCGGCCTTAAAAGTATTCATATTACATACCAGATTCGAAGAACATGAGGGTATGTCAGTCATTCCAAAAGCCAGGGGTGTCTCTTTGAGAATCCAGTTCGAAGCTATGAAGTTGTAGACGTTTAACATCTGTAAAATGAAAGAATGAGATTGTTATGAACTTCATTCTTAGTTTGCAAAGAAACAATTGGACGTAAGAGAGAAACTAAATCGAGAAGTAGATTTTTTCAAATTTCCTACCTCTTTGGTAGCGTTCGCTCTTGTTGGCATCAGAAAGAGTCTGATAACAAATTCAGCATTGCTTCTTTGTGAACTTAACGGAGCTGTAAAAGCCACTGAGCTCAGCGTAGTTGTCATCAATGTGACAGCCAAAAGGACCTTGTAAAATTCCATCTCTGGTAAGATGAAATT